GCTGTAACACAGGATTTTAACCCAACTGCAGGAAGAAGGGAAGTGTCCGCATAGAGAGAAAGAAAGTGTTTTCCTAAAATTTTAATAATTCCAGTAAACGGTAGGGCGGAGGCAGAACAGCATGGTAAATAAACTATACCTTTATTATCTCTATGTGCATTGCCAGTTTGCTCCAGATACTTTAAAACTATTAAATATTTATAGATATTTAAAAGTATTACTTTAAAATGTTAATTCATGTTTCATAATTCAATTGTGCTGAAATTATCATCTGAGAACTCCTTACAATGCTGAATGCAAGTCTCTAAAATAACGGATTTTGTTTCATATAGGAAATAAGTCTTCAGTTCAGAAACTGTATAGATGTGATGTATGTGACTACACAAGCACAACTTACGTTGGTGTACGAAATCACAGACGAATTCATAACTCTGATAAGCCATATAGGTAAGCGTCTCAATTGTTGCTGGCTAATGCCATGTGCCTGGTTTACTTGTTTTAACTAAAAAGGTTACTTAATTGCTCATGCAATTTTGAAGATATTGCTAAAGAATTTCAATTACATAATTTCACTGCAAATTTGAAGGAGCCACATTTGCTGGTTGACTCAAACTATGTAATTAAGATTTGCTAACTTTTCCAGGATGCATCTTTTGCTATAGCAGTCTACTGCTTGTTTTCAGTTTGAAGCATTCAGATGTGGAAAGGGAAATAATTATATTGTAATATTGAACTTTGCCAATAGTAATAATATATTTCTCAAATTCCTTGCACACTTAAGTTCATTTTGGATTTGCTTTATTGCAAAGTGTTCTCCGTTGTCATATTGCTAGTTTGCACATTGGCTTCTACAGAGTGTGGCAAAATTCTGCCCTTTGTCTTGTCGCCAGTCCCCTCGTCTTTTTCACAGGTTTCAAGCAATATTAACACAGTCACTTAGGATCAGATTTTATAACTTTTCTACAAGGATGTTATATGGATTTATATAGAAACTTTGATATCTAAAATCACATGTAATGGTATAGCTCAGGTCCCCAGCAGAAAAATGAATTATGCATTTTTCTATTGGTTGCTGCATAAATTCCTGCAAATTCAATCTATGCTCATTCAGTGTGGATCTCTGTCCCTCTCTAGTGGCTAGAAAATAGATCTGAGTTAATGGGATTTTTGAGCTAATATACTTCTATCTTTTTAATACAAATTCTGGAAACTCAACACCTTGAAATGCTGAGCTCAGCCAGGGACTTTCTTTTTCGGATAAACAAACCCAGAAGACGTGTTATATTTTGATTTGTGCATTATAATGATACCACATAACACTAGCAAAAATTTGCAAGATGTTTGCTCAGAGAGCAAATGTGGAATACAAATAGATTTTTTTTCTCCTCAGAATCTTCCCTATTGCCGTTATTTGTTACTTAGTGGGGTTGGAACAGCAGATACTGTAGAGCGTCTTGTATGTGGTAGTTTTCTGAATTGGTGTTAGCCAGCCTATTTGATTTAGGAACCCTTGAAAATTTTCCATTGGTGATATAGACTGCTGCATACTAAATTTAGGCCTACTGATCTGGCTTGCTTTTCTTTTTTTTTTTTTTTTTCATAAACCCCTTAGACAAATCTGCAGACCTGGTAGGATACTTAAGCCACAGCCTAAAAACCATGAAGATCCAGTATTTATAGTATTTCTCCTTCTGAAACATGTATTCCTCAAGCCTTTCATACTATCAGATAGCAACCTACTATATTGCTGCCATTTTTATAGCTGTAAACATATTTTATTATTTGTTTGACAAAAATTGCTGGAAATTAAACTGTATTGCCTCCAATGATGCATTTTTGTAGATTTGATACCTTCCGGATTTTAATACTGCACAATTAAGTCCTTTCAAAAATAAAGTGAGTAATCGTAAGTTAAGTATCCTGCGGTCTCAAACTGTGTCACACTATAGACCAGACTTAGTAAATACTGGACATTGTACCATTTCAAAAAAAGAAACAACTGAAGTCCTAGTAAATACGCAGAATTTTAGCTGAGCTTGATGGCTTCTGTTTCAATGTGTTATATGGTAGTATATTGATATTTATGAATAGCATAGTATTTTGTGTAATACTTTGGGTTCTAAATCCATGGACCTAAATCTAGATCCAGACTGTATTGTTTTTATACAAAGATATTGTGACGGAAATAAAAAAAATAAAAATTTAGGCAGCATGATGTGACACACTTGTCTTAGGGCACTTGAATCTAAATGTGTTGATCTTGTCCCTGACTTCTATTTCAGATACAATGTTCTGAAACTTTGATGTTTTATTACTAAATAGATAGTTCGGCTTTTAAAATGTCATGAGAAACATGGCTGTTGCATTAAGTAGAACACGTATTTTTGAGGACCAAGACTCACTTCTAAACACACTATGTCCCCTATGGCTCTTATGGTCATATTCTGCCTTCTCATAACATAGCCAAGCAACTTGCATCAGGGCTGCATCCATTCAAGTGCATCCATATCTCCCTTATACTTTGTGATGCTTACCAACTTCAGTAGAGGTGCACAAGATAGATGTCAGGAAGGAACATAGTCCATATGCCTAGTGTTTCTTGCTCAAAGGTGGAGGCTTTTTTGGGCTGCAAAAGATTCTCACGGTCCAAAAGTTGAAAGTTAATGTCATCACTTGGACTTCTGTAAATATTGTTAGTCCTTAACTGTAGTCTTTCCAGATACCTTTGCTTTCTCATAGATTTTTTTATTTCTGGAATAGTGTTAGCAGTTAATTGTCAGATTAGTTTACCTGTTGTTGTCTCTTTAGATGTCGAGTATGTGACTTCGCCACCACAAATATGAATAGCTTGAAATGCCATATGAGGCGCCACCCCCAGGAGCATCAGGCAGTGCAGCTAATGGAACAGTACAAGTATGTAAGAGTTCTAATTTGGCAAAACGCTGTAATAATAGTGATTTTGTTATGTTAAGATACAAAGCAGAGTTCGGATCCTGTTCTTTTCCCTCCTAGATTCATTCTTTGTTCCAGTGACTTTTTTTTTTTGAGAGAGAGTGAGAAAGAGATTTGATGTGGCATTCCCAGGTGATGTTTATGCTAGCTAATTAAACATGTCCATGACCTCCCTCTGGTACAGCATTCAACTTTTTCTTTCCAGAATGGGGTGGTTGCATATAAACTGCCTATTGCAAGTAGTTTCTGGACCCTGTTAATTACCAAAGCATGCCTGGAATTGTTTGGGAGAATGCATGTGCCAAAACCATGCCAGGGGCACTTCTAACTTTTAACATTATAGATTGTTAAATTCCAGTACCCAGGAATGTTCTCTGGCTTTGTTTAATAACCTAGTCTAGGCACAGCCTTTGCATATACATGTTAGTTCGAATCCAGATTGGCATCACACTGCCCTAGTTAAGAATTAGTGTGAATAGTCATTATGTTTAAGTGATGAGTGTCCTTTATAGTCTGTCCATAGATATGTGTGGTTTAGATATGTATATATGAGAAAGTTGGCACAAATATGTGCAGTTGTTTACGACTAATTTGCAACAAAAAATAAAAGCTGGGAAACAAAAGAAAATCAGGAGTATTCTGAACATTTCTTAGTGAAGATTTTAAAGGCAATAGGAAGAATCCAAATAAAGCACATTCACATAAGGGTTTCTTCTCAAGAAAATCTGCTTCTACAACTTCAAAGTCCTTCCACTGCATTTTTTCCCCAAAACGTTCCTAGTAGCATTAAGTTCTATTTGCTCTGCAGTCATACTTCATGCAGTATTGCTGAGTGCTCTGAGTATTACTGAAGATTACTGAAAAACTCCACGCTTTGGTCCCTACATCCCCAAGGAAACAGTCTATCAAAAGCTGCAAGATAATTGTTTCCTCAGTAGATCAATTTAGGATATACTTGAACAGTAAAGTTTAATAATTCAACATAGGTCAAACAGTAGGGCAAATTATGCTATAGAATTGAAAGGTTTCTACTACTAAACTCACTGGTAAAATAATTTTGTTTCTCTGGGAATGTCTTGAATATACTGTAACTGTATGATCATATACATTAAGTATATCATCATAAAGTATAGTGCATCAAGCTAAAAGCTGTTGAGTTTCTGTGTCTGATGCTAAAGCAGTCAACAGCATTTGGCTCATGATACTGTTCTGAGCAAATTAAATCTGATTAGTAAATCACCTGAGTAAATTAATGTACTTCAAAAAATGAGACTGTAATTAAAAGGGGATAAAACCAAACACTGAACTGTTGCTTCATTCACTGTGTTACCAACCCACTGACCAAGCTGTGTTAGTGGCACAGAAAAATCATATATATAATAAGACTAGTGGAATACATGTGCGTTTAGAATGGAATTAAGATTATTTGTTGATCTTTGTGTTTTGCAAAAAAATTATTTTGGCCTAATTTTATTTATAAATTAACTATAAGGTCTGCCTTTTATTTTATTTTTAATGATGCCATTATTTTGTAACAGCCTTATTAGAAAGATTAAGATTCTCAACCTGACAGTGAACTTGCCTATATTTGAAAGCATCCGTTTTCTTTATAAGGCTTCAGATTAGAAGGAAAAGAGAAAATAGGATAGTACATTCCAAATCAAGTAATAGCGAAAAGTGAGCTAGAAGGACATGCCAGTTGCTCCCCAGCAGGACAGAATTATCTTGCTACATAAGCAAGGTAATGTACCATGCCTTCACCTAACTTGTGAGATTTTTGCTGTTCTCCACAATCTTCTGCCGAGCAGAAATAGTTTCCTGTATATGATTATTTTCAAGGCGTTTAAGGACTATATCCTACTGTCATTAAGAGAAGTGGTAAAACCTTACTGAATCATAGTGTGTAACACTGTTTTATGTAGGCCTTCTCATCTTAAAAATTTACAAAAACTTCCTAGTATAGTAGTTATTTTAACAGACTCATCATAGTGTAACATACTGGGATCACATTGCTTGAGTGAAAAAATCTTACTCTCATTGCGGAATGAGATAGACTGAGATGCATTCCTAGCTATAATTTATTAGAACAAGGTCACCTTGGATTGATCCTGGTCTTTTCCATGTGATTTGAGAAACTGAAGGCTTCCCAAGTAGCAGGTAGCTAAGCAAAGTAGCTTCCTCATCCAAAAGACAAGGAGCTATGTCATCTTTACTGTGGGTACTGTTCTGCTCTGGATTGATGTCATGCAGTATCACTCATCTCCTTCATGCTGAGATGACTAATCTATTATCTTAGAAAACACTTGTAAAAACTCCTCTGTTGTATGTTTGGGTATGAAAAAAGTCCTATGGGATTTGATCAGTCTTGGGTTATTTGTGTCCATAAATACACACTACATCTCTATGTAAACAGGATTTATTCTTCAAGGTTTTGTTCTTTACTGTGTAAGACACTGTTTTATAGGGAAATAGAAAATTTAGTCTTGTGGTACTCGAGCTGATGAAAAACTCTATGGACAAAATTGTCACCTGTCTGAATCTCGATCTGTGAATATATTCAAAATCTGACTGAACACTGTCCTTGGCAACCTGCTGTAGCTGATCCTGCTTGAGCAGGTGGATTGGACTAGGTGATCTCAAGAGCTCCCTTCCAACTTCAACAATTCTGTGATCCTTAAATAAACTAATATATGCTACACCAAGAAAGGCTTTATTAGTTCAATTAAAATTATCAGTGCTAATTACACAGCTTCTGCTTGGTTCAGAGAAATGGCAAAGAGAGCTCACTACCTGCCTGCCAGATACCACACCGATGTACTCCATGTTTCCGCCGTCATCAGAACTATTGCATTTTTGCTGTATTTAAACAGTTTTAATAGGCCAAAGAGATAAGCTTTTAATTCCGTTGTTTAAGAAGTCAGAGAAAGCAAACTTAAAAATTCTCAGACGCTAAAAATAGTCTTACATTTCAAAATGAAACTTCGCAATCTAACTTGACCTAGTTATGAAACTGAAAAGGGGGACTGAAGAGGATTGATATGTGTATCTCTGTTTATTCATCCTTTTGGAAGAACTAATCCATTACTAAAGTAATAAAATTTAACTTCTAAATGTTTCTCTTTTTCCTTCTCCACTTTTTTTTCCTAGATGTTCTCTCTGTGGATATGTATGTAGCCATCCTCCATCCCTGAAGTCTCACATGTGGAAACATGCAAGTGACCAAAATTATAACTATGAACAAGTGAACAAGGCTATTAATGATGCAATTTCACAAAGCAGCAGGTATGTCTGATTTACTTTCAAGCCCTATCATCTAGAATTTTCAAAGGACCCAACTCTGATCCAAAATAAAGTTCCCGTCAAAAAGCAACAATTGTATGTTTTGATATTTGTTTCGGTTTTTATTATTATTTCAGGTTTCAAGGACAACTTCCAGACAAAACCTTATTAGAAGGCACAGATGAAAGTACAGTACCTATACTAGGAAGTTCAGACAACTTGGTGTCTTTTACAGAGTCTATTAACCAGACTACAAATGAAATTTCAGGTTCTGATGAAAATGAAAAACCTAACTTGATGAATACCTCATGCAGTTTAGAAAAGAACTCCACTCTACCCCATCTTGGCACAGAATACTGTGTTCTTCTCTTCTGCTGCTGCATTTGTGGTTTTGAGTCTACCAACAAAGAAAATCTGCTGGATCATATGAAAGAACATGAGGGTGAAATCATAAACATCATTCTAAATAAGGTCCACAGCACAACTCAGAGCACAAACTAGGTGAAGCAGTAAGTTAGAGAGGGTTTCCTAGAGTGAATATTTTATTTCTTTGCTAATTTTTGCCTGAGAAACTTGCTAAAGAGAAGAATTGCAAGCAAAACTTGATTTCCTATCCTGAGTCCTTGTTTCAGTAGGAGTACAATATTTTAACCAGGGACCGATGAATCATTTAAGAGATAAATATAAGGAGTGGGGAATAGAACGATCCATTTTAATTTGTTATTTCTCTATATGGTGCCAAGAATGTAGGATTGTTGGGTTTTTTCTTTTATTGTCAGGTACTAGTCAGTAATAAGGCATTAGTACAGTACGTCAAAACCCAAAGGTATGAAAGCTTTGTATCAACTGAAAAGCTTTTTTCTTCCTCCCTCTTTGTTGTTTTCAAAGTATTTCAGCAAAGAACTTTTTTACCCTCTTTTTTTGAAACTGGCAACAGACCAGATAGATACAAATTTTACCATATGATCTCGTAAAGCCCCCTGCCTGGATTCTGGAAGGCAGGGAGAAGGGAGGTGGGTGAGGGCATGTATGTGCTTGCGTGCACGCATAGGCGTTTCATTTTTCCCAATCTATTTTTAAGGCCTTAAAAACTCCCAAGTCGTCCTTCAACAAAGAGTGCTATCCTTTCTATAAATTTAGAGCAGCAGGAGCTGAGGAGCCTAGAAGCATTTTGCTAATAACTATTTGTCCGATCGAATCCTAACTAAAAAACTGCTGTCTTTTGAATTGATGGTGTGTAAAAGATCCTTTATAATAATGACCTGCTGTTTCTTACTGGTTTTCTTGACTCATTCAGCAGAACTATTTAAAAAAAAAAAGCTTATCATATGTTACTTTTAATTTGTGGTGATTGCTTTGCAGTATGTATGAGCAATGTTTTTTAATGAGAACAAGATATTAACAATAATAGCCACAAAGAGATGTAGATTAAACCTATGTAGATTCCTAAAGATGTAGGTGAGCACAAAGTGGGATTTTGAGAAATGCCTACATGCTTTAGAGTTCTTTCTTTGAAAATCCCACTGGCTGTCTGAATTTCCCATTTGTCTGGCAGAGCTGTAACTGTAGAAATAATTCACTGAAAGATAATTTTCCTGTAGAAAATCATATTTAAAAAAAAAGGCAAACTATTTTAAGGGAAAACTGTATCCAGTCACTTGTAGAATAAATTTTACCAGTGCATAGAATATGGATTCATAAAGGGAATTAGGGATTACTTTGTTTTCTAAGAAACACATAGAAATCTCTCCCTTTTAAAGCATTTAGCTTCTAAAATTACAGTGCTTTTTTTTTTACAGTTACAGCAATTTGCAGTAGAAGACATTCATCTCTGCATCAGTTTAGAATATTTTATACTGGCTAATTACCTGGCAACTTTATTGAGGTTATTTATAAAGTTGGCTACTTAAATTGTTTGAAATATATGCTTCGATCAAGTGAAGTAGTAGCACTTCCAAAGAAGCCCTTTAGCAGCCAGATTTAAGCTTTCTAGTTTGGGCATGTATTTCTGCTTTTAATGAATGGCAGATGCACAGAAGCATGGCTAGTTCCTGACATGGGGATGCAGTTACCTGATTTTTAGTAGCTCATTACTTAAAAAATTACTTACTCTTAGAAAAACAGTATTTTATGGTTACTTTATTTATACATTTCTGCTAGCAGAAATAAGCTACAACTGTAAATCTAAGAAGGTGGCAGATGTAGTGTGCAGTCTATTGCACTATCGCTGACTGGAAGTGGCAAACAGGAAAAGAAAACAAGTCTTGTTACAACTTTTGGAAGCAGCACAAAATCTAAAGGCCAGGGTAAAGGCACTAAGATTCCTAAGATGATTTTTGTTTTCAAGTGATTTCCTCAGTTTGACTTGTTCTTTTGGATTAAATATGTATTATTTTGTTTATAAGTTAGATAGCAGAAAGTACACATTTTACTTTAAAAATTGGTCAGGATATAATGTCAAAGCATTTTTGTGTCAGATATTTGAGATATTTTAAATACATATGTGAAGTAAGTATACATTATTTTCAGTTAAAAGTTATTTTTCATATTCCTACAGATGGTTTTTACATTTGAAAAACATTATTTATTTACATGCTCTCAAATTCGAGATAGTAAACTTTTAATGGGATATTCATACAGTCTTATTGACACCAATATTTTACCTTCAATATAGAATTCATGTGAAAATAGTACATTATCTGGAATATATCTCAACTTTCTCATTCAGAGATCCCGTTTGTTGAAAAAATTAAAGGTACAATGAGATCTGTAGTAATGCTAAACTACCAGTCAGTATTCACAGAAACAATATTTTGCCACATTGTCATTTTTGTGTAAAGGGACAATTATTTTAAAGTTGCTCGGCTAGTGAAAGATAAAAAGGTGAAAAACATGCATTCATAAGCTAAGAAGGAGATGGCAGTGAACCAAGACTTAAAAAGCAAGTAACCTTGAATCAAAATTAACAATTTTGGTGTGTGTGCAAGCCACGCTTGCAGCATTACGTACAATGCACCAGGACTCATTGTAATGGGATTACTAAGCAGGATGCATCTATTCACAGTTGTTCTTTGCCATCTTGTTGCTTTTTTTCTTTTTGACCATGTGTTCCTATAAAACAGTAGAAAGCTAGTTGCCTCTAAAAACCATTATCAATCCTAACAAATGCCAACGAATAATACTTTCCCATATGCACAGAGATTTATTTTTTTTAACTGTCTCCATGCTGCTTGCCATTAGTTACCCACTCACAATTCCCATGGACTTTATCACAAGTTCTGCATGTGAAGTAATTATAGGCTTAGTTTTTCTGAAAGCAAATTATTCCTCAGGTTATCTGCTTTAGAAAGTGTACGGTTGGCTTGGTTGCATGTTCTGTAAGGGTTTTTAAGCACATTTCGAAGTCACCAACACTGCGGTCTTCCCCTTTCTTTAAGCTTTTAAAATACTTTCAGATCTTCTGTTACAGCACTATCAGATGATCAGCTATTCACTTGCTGTTTGTTTAAATTAGATTTTATTCTGTGATATGAACTGTAACTTGCAGCTTTGTTTTAAATGCCTATACTTCTACTAAAGAGAAAACGTCATTCATACTAGACTGTACTGATAAATAGGTGCATATTTCATCTTTCCGATTTATGCTTGGCCTGGAAAAACAGAGTGGGATTCAGTCAGAGTTATTGTATTTTCCTCTTTCAGAAGCACTTATTTAATCATTTTAAAAAATGTACAGTTGGTGCTCAAAGTAACATTTGTTAAGATATATTTAATAGAAATTTACATTTGCATTTGATATTCATGGACATGGGTACATGTATTTTTTTAAGAAAAGGTATTGTAACACTATGGCACTGCTTTTATAGCCAAAGTATACAAAATTTAGAAAACTGACATGTAAAGACTGCAGTTAATTCTGATACTGTATGACTTTCATTTTATAAAATTATCCAGCACATTAAGCTGCATGCCTTAAGCTCTCTCTAGGATTGTGTTCCTGATAGACGACTGTTTGGAACTATGAAGCAAAGTCTGTAGTACTACTTTAACTACCTTCTGAAATACTGTACAATGTTAGAATAATTTATTTTGCTTTACAGGAGTTTGTCACGTATTGACTTTAATATTGTATTTTGGTAATAAACTTTTTTTGTTAAACACTTTAGTCACTTTTATTTGACCTGTACAAAATATGGAAAATTCAAAACTGAACCAGTGTTCAGAGATAGGGGAATCTCTTTAAATCAAAAAGTATCTGATAGACTTTACTGCCATTTCTCACTCTTGTGTCAAGTTATTACAGTTTTAATACTGTTAATACAAGTTTTATAAAAGCAACTGTAGTAATGAAATATGAGACTATTAAGTCAAAATACTTGTAAGCCTGCATGCAGTTATGATGGGACAATGCTGAAGCTAGTGGCAATTTTTTCCCTAATTGAAATGGAGTGAAAGCCTTATGCAGCTTTTTTCAAGTAAGTGAGTGACTCTTGCTTATCCGTCACATAAGCTAAAACATATCTTGCAACCTAATTTTAAATATACGGCATATTTCTTGGGCTTGCTGGAGTTTTTCTTCCCATCTTTTTCAGAAAAAAACAACCAAACCCAGTATAACTCAGTTGCTGTTGCTGGCCAAGGAGAGAAAAGAGAAAGAACCACCAGAGTACCCATTGCTGGTATTCTCATGGTTTCCGTTTTCATAAACAGGCTATCTTATTTCATTTTGTTGTTACTATTATGGCCCTGGGCCAAATACGTTGAAGTAAAAAAAGCTGAACTACAAATGGGTGTAGATGCAATGCTACAGAATGCTGTGTCGTGCAGCTTTTTCACATTTTCTGTAATGCAAAACCTGGGAAAAAAGTCTCTGTAGTAGGATGTGGCATCCAGGTATTATCCTATTCACTGTGCTAAAATACCTTGCTCGCTTCAGCTTAATAGAGCAGAAGAGCCTCATCGGAAGTTACTTCCCCCCATAAATAACCTGGTTGTGCGTGATCCAACTGGTATCCCAAGACACCTTATCTGCTGTGAAGCACGTCTTATCAGACACCTTCCCTCCTCACTAGGGCTGGCCAACCCAGAGCGGGGCTGCTGCTGCCAGTAGAACAGGCACCGTGCTTGCTACTGAACACTGCAGCTTTTGCAGAAATGGGACTGCACACACAGCTTGTTGGGATAGAGCTGCACTGACCTAACGTTTGACGATTGTAACGCCCCTGGGAACTAGGAGAAAATGGGTTAGAGCCCTGCCACACATCAATGGGATCTGAATCACTCTGTCCTATATCTTTGGCAAGTATTTATGGTCGGAATTATTGCAGAAAAGTTAACGCACCATGCTACTGTTCTTTCTTTGCAGTCCCTTCTAGGCATATTTGGAAAAGAGCTGTCACACTGAGCCACTCGGAAAGTGAAACACCATTAATACTGACTTAATATTAGCTAGGTAAAAAAACTCAGAATTGGTAAAACTAAGATGCTTTTGCCCAAAAGCAAAACTTCAGGCATCTGACAAACTTCAAAAGTTGAAAAAAGAGATAACCTAGAAATTTGACATGCTTGCAGCATATCACATGGCTGCTGAACAGCAACTCAAAAGATTGCAGGTTTAAACTCAAAATTTACTTAGGCAGAACTTGAGTCCTCCCGTGTTTCTAGTTCATAGTAGCTCTTTCTACAGTATTGAATGTGACAATCCAAGAGAAAACACAAATGTAAATAGTATAAAGAAATTGAATTTAAAGTTTCATTCAACCATTTCCTGTACATATGGTTTGTAGATATTTGACTAACATTTGTTAGTATTATGGGTAACTTGGTACTAACACTAAGACTTTGCTACCATATGATCTAGTTGGAACACAATGAGCAACAAGGATATTGGTAAATAATATCCTTTTGCTGCTTTGGCAAGTATAAAGCCAGCGTTACAGTATTGTAATAATACAGTATTACTGATTGCTTGCTACAGTTTGGTGTATTTTAATTTACATTTTATAACACAATTTTCAGATATTAATATCAATCTGGAAGTTCTTTAGTTTTTCTGTATACTCACAACTCAAAATATTAGATCTCATTATCAATGGACGTGTTGCCTAACTAATACATTGTTTCAGTGAGAATATGTTGAATAATAACTCTTAGGTGTAGCTCCCTCATGACAAAGGATTTTTTCTTTTTACACTTACATTGCTCTAGTCCCTGGCAAAAAGAGGCAGTAAAGAATGTTGTAGTGTGATACTTTCCAGCTATTACTGTAGGTGGAAACACACTCTCGGTGTCGTCCCTAGAATATTAAGCAAACCAGCATCAGATTCATCTGAGTACTTCCAGACGGAGGATCAGTGCAGAGGGTTTTTCTCCCACTCCATTTTTTTCTAGTGCTGTACCCCAACACTTACTGCAACAGGAAATACGACTTGTTAAAATATTATATAGAGTTGGGAAAAAATGCATTTTTTATTTTCCCTACTATCTAATCTTCTGCTATTTGAAACTTGAACAATAGGTGTTAATATTTCAAAATGATGGCTATAGCTCATTAGTTATTTTAAAATGACTTAAAGGTAACATTTACTCTTAGATACATTAACCACTGTGTAAGGCTGTCTAATGCTCTTCTATTACACAAACTGTTTTCACTTCGAATAACACTATTTTACAGCGTAGATTGTGTTAGTAGTTTGGGAATGTCAGCAGAATTTGTACTGCTGGTTATCTGCAATCATTTCCACAAAACAGAAAACTTCAACTGACTGTAGTAACTTGTTTATCACATACAAATATATTACATATATGCACAGTGTCATAAAACACAGTAGAATTAAGAAGACTAACTCCCCCTCTTTTCAGTACTACTGCCTGTTGGCAACCACGCTACACAGCCTGTCATTTAGTTCAAGATAACGTCTACCGAAGTTTTGGTTCTACAGAGAACAGGCTTTTAGTGGTCCGAAATTTATTAAACATGCATAATTACCGGATTTCTAAAGCTCTTAAATGATTATGTTTTCTAAACCATTTCTGCAACTTTTTGTTCTGTGTAGATTTTACTTTGCATTGGCCTTTTTACAAGTAGTGGATAAACAGAATTTCCATCGTAGAAAACATCTTCCACAGCATTCCCCTTCCCAGAAATTTAAGCACGTTATCTGACCTCCTTTACACAAAAATGTACACACACTCAAGATATTTTTTTTCCTTTATTTACACTGTAAAATCACTTGTATGATCTGTATACAATATGTACATTTTAACAAACACCTGATGTATAACGTGGCAGTGATGCTCTAAGTGATAAAAACAAGGTAAATCTAATGCCCATTGTAAAGCCCATAATTCTTCAGTTTCCATATTCTTAGTTTAAGCATTCCCCACAAATGTACCACCTGCCTTATTGCTCAAAAAAATAAGAGAAGTATGGCTAGTCTGTTGTAAATTGACTTGTAGTAGAAATTTTTAACTATTTGGACTTAAGTATTACTTTAGAGGAAGTAAGAGAAAATCATTGTTTTAAAAAATACTTATAGAACATACTAAGTGTGCAAGACAAATACTGAAAAATTTCCTCATTTCTAATGTCAATGGCTTCAAAGCTCTGAATTAGCAGGATGATTACTAGTTCCACTGTTTGCTTGGCATCTCTGAGTGTGTTTTCTATGAATTTCATGCCTCTTTTTGCTCAAAATACCGACTTTGCCAATGAACCAAGGTTGTGGAATAAAAAAGAAAAAAAAATTAAGTATTGCTGGACTGTAAAACGGTGACAAAAAATCAACTGAATATTGTCCTGAAGAAGTGAACTCTATCCCTGCCTGTTCCACAGAATTTGTATGGATTATTGGGAAATCTGCTTTCTGTGATAGGATCTGGGAGTCGGCATGTTGGTAAAAAGCTTTATGGGGAATTTTTTTTTCCTACGATAACTATCTTTAAAGACACTGCAAATAAAATTTACAATAAGGAATTACTGTAAGGGTAGGTTGTACCTGTTAAGTAGAAGAAGTCTGATGTTGCCGTTATCTTTCTGCTACAGATAAAGGTCTTTCCCTCCTTGCAGAGTTGTTTTTATGCTGCATTTGATCAAGAAATACAATGGAGCTTATAGTGAACTGAATACAAAATACACCTCTACTGTTTAGAATTCTCATTTAAATTAAAAAAGCACATCACCTCTATCTGGAACTACATCTATTTGGGAAAAAAAAAACCACTAAAAATAAATTCTACGTCACTATTTTAGAAATGAATCTTCCACACCTGTTTAAGTCCAGCGGGACAGCACGACCCAAAGCACCCGCTGCTCCCCTCAGGAGGAAGGCAGACCGCCCCTGGCGACACCGCGCGGGAG